TCTGGCAGCTTATCATTTGTTGTTTTAATTGTACTAGATCAGTTGTGCTACTGACTGTGTAAAAGCTCCAGGGAAAGAACCTCCCTAAATACAGATTTGGTTTTAAAGAATCTAGGCTCACCCCCTCTCGTGCTACAGCACCTCTCAAAGACTGATGGGAGGACTGGGCATAGGTAACGGTCCTGTGTGAAGGAGGCGGCTCTTGCAGAAGCAGTCAGCGCAACGTTTCAGAGTAGCAGCATGAAGGCTTGATTAGGGATGGAGGGGTGGGAAGCAGCATGGATAGAAGCAGAAGCTTCCTTAGGAGAAAGACGTGTTAAAAACAAGTGTATTTTTGGAAAATAAAGTGTTCCCTTTACTCCCCAAGAAGAGGGCTGCAACTCTGCCAAATGTTAAGTGCTCTGCTTGACCATGTGGTACCCACAATCGCAGACTGTACAACAGTACTGGTTCAAATAGAGCTGTATGAACACACACCAGGAGACACAATTGCAGTAGTTAAAGGGACCTGTTAATGTGTCCACTCATCTAAGCAAAGTCTCAAAAAACCCCTAAAAATCATACAGCATTTCTTTTCCTGGCTGTGGTACACAGACACCGGAGGTGTTTATCATAGCCACAGCTTGTGTACTAGCGGCCTAATAGTTAAGCACTGTCTTCTGCAGGGAAAGGGCTTCTAAAAATATCAGATTCAGATATTAAACTACCTTTCTGCCTTAGTAAAATCATCAATTTATGTTATAAAGGGTTCTTTTGCTTTTGATAATGCAAAAAAAAAAAACCAAACCAAACCCAAACCCCCAAAACTCCATATAAGACAACTGAGAAAGCCTGCTGCTCATTAAAAACTCAGAAGGATATTTTGGAGAGCTACTTGTGTTACTTGAAACAGCTATACAATCACCATCATTAAGGAGACGCCTGTATTTCTCAGACTCTTTGCTTTTTGGCTATAACATACATAACACATAAATATCACTTACCCAAATAATTGAATGAGATATTTGAGACTTCTGTCTCCAAAAGCTTAAAAAATCAAAACCCCCAAAATACCTTATCAGGATAGCTCAGTCTTGCAAAAAGAAAAGGAGAACACTTTATTCATTTGGGTTTGGTTTGGGGTTTTTTTGGGGGGGGACATGACACATGACAACAAAAACGACATGGGGCACGAAGGCAACTTACAAACTGTCATGTTTGTTTAGGGTGTAGAGATATAAAGAACTCCTCGAACAACATCCTTCTGAAATCAGACAAAATTGAGCTGCAATACAGATCAATCAGTTAATGAAGATCACAAAGCAGAAGAGATCTAAGGCTGCTTAACATTATGGTCTGTGCAGCATCCCTGTCACTTCAGCTCACCACCAACAACCGTTCACTGATGGAAGCTGAAATTTCTAGCAGAAACACAACTCGAGCACCGCTAATGCAAACACTGAATCTGAAAAATACTATGGAAAGGTCTGTATTCAGACATTCTTCCTTATTTTGGACAGAAAATGAGAAGTCTTGTGAACAATCAAGAGAACTATAATTTCTGAAGCCATTTGGTGAAAATGAAGATTATTTAAACCCCCCCCCGAAACAGCAAAACGAAAGCAACAACCAAAGAACACCCTCCACCCAACCCCCCAAAAAAACCCAACTCAAACAGAACACATCCAGTATCACCACAGACCTCAATATTTCAAGCTGTGGGGCCTGCCAAAGTAGCCCCTAATAGCTGCTTGCTTGGACAAGGAACATGTTCAAAACAGTCACAGTGACACAGTGTAGAGTTTATTCTCCAAAAAGCCAAAAGATGACAAAGATAAACATGGTGCATTCTACCTAAAAAGTGCGAGGGTAAGCACAGAAGCCAAAAGTACAATCCCCCGAGTCACACATCACCAGTATCAGCTGCACCCCTCTGCCCTGTTCAATGGGTAGTGGGCTCACAGTGCTTCCCCTCACTGGCACCACTGGGAAGGACCCCAAGGACAGCTATGGCCACATGTGTTTCAATGTTTTACGTAAGTTTTATCAGGTTTTAAGACAAAAAGTAGGAAGAAAGCAAGTAGTAGTAAGACATTCACAAAGGATGTTCTCTGTAAGCATTGTGTCTTCTACTATAATGAACCTTACTCTTCCCCAAACCAGAGTACTACAGTCCTACACACCATTCATTTGAATCTTTTTCTTGGCTTGAAAATCGTTCTCTCTTCTCCCCACTCATTAAACCTCAGTTGCCTGTATTGCTATTGCTGCTTGTTGGGTACAGTTACATTGCCTCAGAGTCCATGACGATAGTTCCTCATGTTTGGTAGATCTGAGGGTCAATATTAAAGGTACAGCCCTAGTAAACCAAAAAGCATGCAAAGTCAAACCAGAGCAAAAGCTGCAGTGCCCTTCCACTTTCGTCTCCTCGTATGGTCTTATTAAGAACACTTTGTTTAAATCTTTATTGCATTGCCCTAGGCTATACGGCTAAAATCCTTTTCGCGATCAAGGAGAGGTTTCCCACAATGTCTTAGTATTACAGAAGCCACGGTTAAAAAATTACATAATAAAGAACTCTCTCAAACAATGCCTGATAACTAGTTGCCAAGATGAGCTACAACACTACAGAATCTCATACAGTTAGATAATTGCTGCTAAATTTTTAAGAACAATCAGCTGAGGTGCTATACATTCTAAGACATTTCAAGATATTTTACTGATATTTTTTGTAGCCTAACAACTGCATATGCACAACTGCATTTGGAAAAACTAGAAACTACCTCACTATAGGGTGAGAGATAATGAGTTAAAATTAAAGGTTGCTGCTGGCTTGCTAGCCCATCCCCCTTTAGCTAATCTGTCATGTAATGAAGAGAAGCACCTAGCATAGGACAGCTAGCTGCCGGCTCACTTACAGCGAGCTGATTAAGAATGTTCAACCAACAGCAGACTGCAGACCTTTCCAATGAAAATAAATAGACTGTATGCAAATGTGTTTGTCACTTTGACAGCATGTCTCAATTAAAGCATCTCGCTGCTGTTGGTAGGCTCTCTCACTGCAGTGGTATGGACGAGGCTTACTGCATTACTGATACACAGGGCTTGACCCTAATCCGCATGCATGCATTTTAAAAAAGTCTGCCTTTGCCATATACACTAGCATAATACTAGCAGACACAGAAAGCAAGTGACAATGAGAAAAAAGCCCCTTTCATCCTCTTCAGTTTATAAGAACTGTGAATGCACAAACAGCCCTTATTTCAGAGTTCTTGTGGCTTTTTAATTGTTCCCACCTACTGTATTCTAGACAGAGTTAAAAGTGACACTAAAATCTCTCCCTTTAATCACCAGTTAGAAGCCATCTCCCATTTAAACAGTAAATGTTGCTGCTTTTTTCCTCCCCAAAGCCTTAATTTATATTTCATAAACCTGAACATCTTTTCCTTTTGAATGGAAGTATGATTTAATTTTCATTTTGGCATTGGGCTATCACGAAGAAAAGACCCGTGAAAGGACAAAGGCTATAAGTGAGGTAGCCCTACAACTGCTAAGTTAGATCATTTTTTGGAAACCGACATTTGTAATGTAATGACAGTAATAAGCATTTAGCAAGCGAGCCTTTCACCACAGCCAGTGGTTCAGCAAAGCTGATCTGTGTTTCTTTTGACACAGAGAAAGTGATCATTAAAAAATTTGAAAGTGACCATTAAAAAAACCTCATGAATTTAAATTCGCACTTTCCACTCGATTACATATTTCATTAATCTACCAAAATGTTTGAACCGTCCATCCTTCATAAAAATCTAAAGGAAAAAACTGAAAGTGGATTGTAATATTATCTGGATTTCTGCCTGCTTTAAATGAAATGTAACATTTTCCTGCTAGAGCTAGATGGCTACATTTCTCCAGCAGCCCCAGTTCCTCCCAACAGTATTGGCACAGAAAGTAAGTGAAAAATAAATCACTACTGCAAATATTTAATTGGAAGAGATCTGTTTTAAACAAAAGTCTCCAAGAAGTTACATTTAGCACAGTGGTGAAAGTTCTGAAAGAAACAAATCTAATTCTAAAACGACACAGACAACGTGGCTCTGAGCAATGATTATATCTCGTGTAGCCCTATCTAATACCCCAACAGTCAATGCAGCCACACTGACTAGCTTCTGTTAATACTTATCTAAAAATCTGCTTTGCTTCACATTCTATAATTACCAATATTTTACAGTTGTTTGAAAATTACACTACGTTTCCTTAGAAGAAATCAGATATTCACTCGTGTTTTCTGATCATAATACTGTAAAAAATAGATATAGAGAAAGACGAGAGAACTGTGAACACAAATAATGTTATTTTTTGAGTCAGGCTACATCTACTAGGCGAACACTGGCAAACTGATAGTAAATACTGTATGTTTTTCCATGAAAATCACAGCGACTACAACATTTTCTAAATAACTAGCACTTAAAAAAACCCACACAACCAAACTTGCTCTTTGCAGACATATCAAAAGAAACACTGTAAGAGTAACTAATGCGTATAGCTCAGTTGTCAATACTGAAATACAGAGTACACTAATAAGCTATTAATTGATTTTTCCATTTTCGTCCATCACATTTAATTTTCAGAGAATGTTAAAATGCTTTAATAGTTGGATGTTCCATATTGACACTAATGATCTGGCTAGATAACAGAGTACATCCTTAGTCCTGAGGGCTACAGCACTTGGCATGCTAAAAGAACAGCAAAATAGTTTATAAAATTGCTATAATAATTATGCTTCCCCCCCCATTCACTTAGAATTTATTTTCCTCAAAATCATCATATGAAAAAAAGGAATCAGTGAACCCCAGAAAAATCAAGTTTTAGAATTCCATTTAAAGAGATACAACAGATTTCTATAATAACATCATTCAGTTACAAAAAATAATGAAACAATTAGCATACTTGTTATTGTGACTTTTCTCTGAACTATTATTGCTGAATCACACAATTTAAAGAAACCTAACACTGAGACATACCTGACCAAAATGTACTGTGATTGGCCTTCTGTCTTCTCTTAATTTAGGGTCCTTCTTGTCAACCAATGGAGAAGGCGCTGTCCTTGGTAGCGATTCCTCCGGTGCTGCAGAGCACCCATTCTCGGCGATGTCCTGTATGGCAGGAAAAGTTGAATAGCATGGCCAGGAACATTCTTGACTAAGGGTAAGGGGCACAAAGGAGACACTAAAGGATAATGCTGACTAACAATTTTATTGTTTGGGTTTTCCCCCTAAGTACAGGAAAGAAAATGTCATTAGAATAAAACATTTCATTGCACTTTGTCAACCAGAGGTTGTACACAACCACTCACTCCTCCTAATACCAATGTTGCATGCAAACAGACACATTCAATAAAACATCTGACTTAAACACGCAAAAGCCAGGAAATTATATATATATACATAAATTTTGAGCGAGGGTGTTTATATATATTTATAAAAATACCCTAGCTCAAAATTTCTTTTTGAGGAACAAATCCAACAGAAACCTAGGAACCGGGCTATTCTGCTTTTGAAAACCTAAACTAAAACAGTAGTTCTATTTACATACTTCACAGAATTATCTGTAGCAGAACAATTACTTGAGATGAAACTCAGCTTAGTTAGCCTTGCACTTCATCTCTGAGTCTGCGTATACTGAATATGCCTTCAGGAGGTTGTGTAAAACAAACTGCTGCCCAGCAGGATGCTTTGTTTTGCTTTGCTTTTGACATTAGTCCTCATCTTCAGAAGTAAAACGACCCATCAACCTAGGTTAGAAGACTTGGCAAGTATCCGTATGGTATATGTAACATAGGTTTTGAAAAAGACAAAGGCATGCAGACATAAGGAATCGGACAAGGAGAAAAGAGTTTGAAAGTCAGTTGAGAAATAGTCTGTAACGCAGTGGGCCCCAAACCTTACATCTCTTTGCAACAATGTCAAGGAAATAATGCTTGGTAAATATAGAGAGAAACCTGCACACACTGTAGCTCTGCAAGACTGACCTAAGGTTGGCTGCTGACATAGACATTGCTTTGATTCCCTGACCTTTGACATGCCCCCTCAAGTTTCCGTCTTGCTAAGGTACAATAATGAGACATGTAAGCTGATGGCCAATTAGAAATGGTTCTTTTGGACACAGACTGACCTAATGTGTTTAGGTCAAATGAAACAAAAAGCTGGATGGACTTTCTAAGGGGCTTTGTCTGCTCCACAGAGAAGCTGAGAGACCTTTTTAGATCCAGCTGGTAGAGCAGTGGTTCACCAGTACGGGCATAAGGATCGTGGGGAAATTAACAACTTGTTAAGGTCACACTAGAGAGAAAAACTTTTTCCTCCCCCCGCCCTCCAGCTGCACAACGCTACCTTGTCTTTAAAAAAATTCAGCAGAGTACACTGAATTAGTAACAAATTGCCCCAAAACAACTCAAGCACAAGAAATGTAAACTTCGGTCAAGCTCATACTTCAGCTCCAAAACAGCAACAAGCTACCAAGGGATCTGGTCAGTTCTGGGATCACATAACACATGGCAGCAACGCATATTGTTCTGAAACGTAACGACATTAAATACAAACTATTTACACAGTTCTGGGCAAGTATAGCCATATTAAATGTGCACCAAGTGGACGTTCCCAGCACTCTGGAGCTTTCAGAGTCCCACCTGGAGCTGAGGCTCCACCAAGGCAACAGACAGCTGGGAATCAACAGAAAGCAAAGCATCTTCCAATCCAGGCAAAATTTCCAGAAAAACGTAAAACAGACGCAGAAGTTCGGACACCAGGGGAATGGGAGAAGATAAAAGATACAGACAGATCAAGCCATTAAGCAACCCCCCCCTAAGGTGTATAACGATCACTGCAAATCCTTACAGCTTTTATTGCTATAGATTTGCTGTGCTTCTCTGATGATATAATTGCATACAAAAGAAAACATGTTCCTAAAGCATATTTCCACTGTGTTTGGTGTACAGACTTGCACAGAAACTGCAGCAGATTTCAGTCAAAATAATCTTTACAAAAAGTTTACTTAATAAAATATGAGAATTAAGTTATTTGATATCTATTTTTTCAAAATCCCCAAGAGGCAGACAAATCAACAACACGGCTTCAGTCATCAAAGCAAAATTTGCCTCACAAAAGTTAGTTTTCTACCTTCAATGAAACCACATTTGACCTAAATAAATAGAGAAATCTGATTTAAAACACCCCAAATAAGGGGCTCCAGGTAGCTTTAAAATGATTAAATGTCAAAGTGTTTGGCAATTCTGTAATTGGAAAGTAGGCAAGAGCCCTTCAAAGCAGTGTGTGACATAACTTCAGCGCACAAACAGACTCTGAATACAGTTCAGTGCATTCAAATATTTGAATCCAAAGTTAATGGGGAGTACAAGACAGACAGAGGGATAAAACCAGAAATAGCAAAAAACGGGACTCTCCGATTCTGAGCTTCAGCTTCAGAAAGGTATCAGGGCTCACAAAATGTCTACAGATAAAAGCAGCTCTTCATCTTGGGAACTACAAATGACCCAAAACCTGCAGTGGACCGCAGTGCCGGCAGGCCTTAAAACAGCAGTGCCCATTCCTGGTACTAACAGCAAAGCCAGGCAGAGCGGTGCATCCCAGCTGAGGGAGCGGATTTACCAGCCAGAACGCTGTCTTGTGTTGCCACAGCGCGTCTGAGAGCCATGCCAGTACTTCCACCTCAAGCTGTGCTGTGTAAGTGCACAGCCTGGCTGGCGCTCACGAGCAGCCCTTCGTACTGCAGTGTATATAGTGCTCTATACGTATGTCCTAAGTCTGACTTTTCAGTTCTGACATGCCCCCAGAAAAGGGATTTGGTATAAGCCAGCAAGACATTCCTGAAGTAGCTTAAGTCCCATTTATTATTCAGGATAACAAAAAACGTGAGACCTATCCCTCCTAAAAAATAGGAAAAAATGGAAGGTGGTAAGTTACTTATTACTGGCATAACTTCTCCAGAAATGCAAAAACCTAGCAATGTTTCGCTGACTTTTTAATGAAAGGGAAGTGTAATTTAAGGATATTATTAAAAACAAAAACCACCTTTTGCCTGAGGAAAAAGATACTTTATAGATTACTGGAAAAAGAGAGTGACAATGATCTATCACACTCCATAATTATCTCCATATATACACAGTGCTTCCCCTAACAACTGTCTGTTCAGGTGAAATCTTTACAGCCTATTTATTTTAAAGGAGGAACTTCAGAGAATGAGTAAGATATATATTTGCAGATATGTAAAGTTTACCCCGTAAACTGAGTAAGGTTTTCTTCTGTTTAAATATGCATTAGTAATTTTTCTAGGGACCTTTTGTAATGGACTACAAATACTGGCTATTAGAAGAGCAAAAAACACATTCCAGAATGTCTACAAGGATTCTTCAGCTTATTTTACAAACCTCTAAATGAGTTGTTTCTAGCTGTACTGATAATAAAGCACTGACAACAGCCCATTGATAACAGACATTAACGAGAGCCACACAGGGCTCTAGTAAGTAAAATAATGTTGAATACATTAAAGCCAAGTGCCCAACCATTTATAGAAATTGTCTTATCCAGAAGCTTTCAGTAAGTTACATTCTCCTTACTGAAAGTTGAGGATGGTACCATTCATATTCCTCCTTCTTCCTAATTCTATGTAGTTAAGCTTCAAACGAGCCAATAACGGAGTGACTTGACCACCATGGTCCATTTGTGAAATGGAAAAGGCAGCCTTACAAAAAAAAAAAAAAAAAAAAAAAAAAAAAGAAAAAGGAAAAAAAAAAGAAAGAAAAAGAAAAAAGCACTGTATCAGATATAAAATAAAGCTACCATGCTGTATCTATTAACAATTATTTGCTATCACTCATAAGAATCCTCTGAAAACTATTTCTGTTGCTTTGAAATACTGTACCACAAATGAACAAGGGATGGAAATAGAGCCCCATTCAATCTCTACTATCATATTAAAGAAGGACCTTACACACACCACAGTGACCTCTCAACAGGTCAATCCTGCATTTCCCATTTGCAATTCAAACCCAAGACTGGAGCAGACCAAGGGCAAAATGGGCTCTTGATTATATTTAAGAGGTCACCATTGCTATGCAGAGTTGTAGGAAGCAGACCTCTAGCTTTATTGCATTTTTAAATTCTGTCTTGTACAGAAGCTGCTCATATTTGGCAGCAAAAACTGGAAAAGGGATGTTTATATTTGACTTTTCCTTACCAGTGGCCTGCATACTTTTTGTGTTAATAATGGAAAATAATATGTTAAAATGCAGTGGATAGTAAGTTCAGTTTAAAAATAACCTTAGGTTACCCTTAGAAGACGAAAGACTAGCATCCCAAATTTGGCAAAAATTAAGTATCTCATGATACCAGAATTTCAAACTGTTAACACTTGCACATACTAGTAAGTAAATACATGAAAAATACAATGTTCTCACATGAAAGTTGGTGAGGATGCACTAATAGACTTGTCAACAGAGTAGCACAGACATTTAGATTAAAAATAATGTGAGGGTGGCCAAACAATTATTGCTATTTTTATCACTTTAAACAGAGCAATATGTCTTTTTAGAGTTATCTTCCTATCTTGCATTCAAAATGGAGAAGAGGATGGGATAGAAAAGAAGACTTAATGAAGAAAGGAGAGGTAAAGCAGGATGTGTCAACTCCTCATAGAAATCTTTCAAGCTCTTGTGGAAGCGTATGTTGAACAATCATGTTTAACCATCTAACAGGGAAGGTGAAACAAAATTGGCCCTTTTATTTGTAAATGTTCTGTGTGTTTTTCAAAAAGAGTGCTTGCTGCTTGAAGGACTAGGAAGACAACAAATAACAAAACAAAGCACTGAGTGAATGAGACATTTCTCAGCCTTTTATACAAATGTCACAGAATAGTATACAATTATATTAGCATTTAAAATACAGGGAAACAATCTGGTCATTTTGCACAGCTCCAACTGCTTTAGAAATGCACATGAGAAGGCCAAACATTTTATTATTCATGAAGGTTATGTCCAGAAGTGAAACACATGGAATTACATAAAAAAATTCCATGTACAAGAAAACTGCTTCATGCTTCTAATATTTTCATATTAAACCTAAAGTGGTCACATACAAAGTAATAAGTGTAATAAAATAAATCTGCATTAAAAGCATCTGAGGCAACTTCACCTTCCTCAAAAATCTCTAGCAATCTGCCAGAGTATGTAGAGAGCGAACGGCGTTTGGATTGTACACACAGTTAATTTCATCAGTTCAGAACCTGGCTGCAGAATAGTCCCTCTGTATTAACATTCTGTTGACATTTTCAGGTAGATTTCTGTTTGTGCCCTAAGAATACATTTGCAGCGCTACCTTAAGATGATGGTTTAGAAATTTAGAGAAGAAATTTACTGAGATAGCACAGATTAAAAAACCCCCAAACTATTACGCAACAATTGAATAAAAATTTCTGGTAAGAACTTCAGTTCTATTAGCAAGTTACCGATCTTATTTCCCCAAAAGACTCTAATAGCTCTAGAATAAATAGACTATCGAAACAAAGCTAAGGCAGAGTTAACCATTCATTTATAAGGTATGTATCAATATGACCATGCTTCTGGCTTAAAAGGAGCAATTAGGGATTTTTAACACATTCTTCAAACACAATTCAACATACTTGGAATTGTACTGTTTACAAACAAAGGCAGATTTGGAAAACAGGAAACAGTTGGCATAATTTTTTCTGCAATAATTCAAATTTGAAAGGAACACCAACTCTAATTTAATTCATTTATGCCTAAACTTTGCGGTAGATACTCATGAAACACATAAATCCTTTTCCCAATGACCAACACTATACTATTTTCCCCGAGAGATTACTGTAGAAATACCAACAATTTGCCATTTGCAAAAAGTTCATTGCCCTCACTGTAGTTCACATAAAGCCCCCTTCCACAATGCCCCAGCACAAAGGACAGGAGAGAGACCACTCCAAATAGAACACTAAATTTTCTGGCTTTTGTGGGTTTAAGTCAGAGCCTTAATGTATTTGAAGACAGTTTTTTTTGTCTGTGAATATTTATAACAGTGTGAAAAATCCGGGACAGCTGGTAATGCATTTTGAAGTGTGCTAACAACACTCTATCAAACAGCTTCCTATTGATCACATAATGCTTTCTGTGGCTAAGTATTTCATACATGGTGCTTATACATTTTGAATAAGAACTTCAAGTACCTTTTGCTTCAAGCGGTTTTTCACTTCTTTTATTCCCATTTTTGCATGATCTTTTGCCTGCATGAAAAATTAATTTAAGTTAAAATCCCCTTCTATTTCCAGCAGAGACTACGCTTGATTTCAGTGCATCAAGATTCACCTTCTCTAGTTACTAAAAATGGCAAGGAAAAAATTGTAACAGGATACTGAAAACATTAAAACAAATAGAAAGCTAATAAACCCCCAAACAAATAAAACAGACCACCCCCCTTCCCCACTTGTTCCAAAAATTTTGTTTTCTCTGTTTTGATGCCACAGGCACCTTTCATCTTTTTGCATTCCACACCCTCGATCTCAACAGAAATAGTAAGCCTGCAAACTTTCTCTTTGCAGTACTCTGGTAGCCAGTTCCATTTAGTAGAGCTAATGCCTCCCTACTCATCTTTCTCAGGCTGGAGGGAGGCAGGAGAAAGTAAAGTTTGAATAGTTTTCTCAATGCGTGTTGTAGCATTATTTCCCAAAATTGAGTTTATAAGAAATCCTCGCTTGTCTCAATGTTGTTTTATCTTGCACAGTGAAGCTGGCAGCCGTACATGATAACACAGTAACATACTAGCTGTTTGTTAACAGAACTGAAAACATTTTCATTTAAAGAATAGCTCAGTAAGTTGGGCTCTAAATAAGCAGGTACAAGAAATCTCTAGGGAAAATTAATTGACATTTAGAAAAGATGGAAACAATTTGGAAAATGAGAGGATTCCCTTATTTCGATGAAGCTGCAAGCAGAGAAACCTGAGGTAACAATGATTTCCAACAGAGTAATGATGAGATGGTAGAGCTGCTTAGTAGAGCATATAGGCACTATTTCCCAGAAATAGTTCTATGTAATAAATAGAATTTATCATCTATACCTTCAAAAGAAATCACAAGTTCCCCTTCTCCTTTGCATTTCAATTATATTTAAATTTCAAAATGACTTTTCCATTTAAATTTGAAATTTAGATGAATGCGTATTTCAAGTAATTTTGTGAGTCCAATAAAAATGATTTTAAGTCTTGAGTTTCATTTGAAAGGTTAAAACAGAATCATAATTAGACTCTTATCTCAGTAGTAAGCCAGTACTTGATACTTACAAACTTATAGACAGTCTTCATGGCAGGGTTAGCCTTGGTCTTTACTGTATTTAAAATGGCTCCACTTCCTTTCTGTAATTACAGTAACAATAGAATAAAATTTATCAAAGCTCTTTAAAGCAAACAGCATTCTGAAATCCACCATACTTAACTTAAAATAACGAGCATTATCTATGCTTATTAGCAGAGCTGAATATTAAAATGGTAAATTTAAAGACAAAGAACACAAGTGAAAATGTTAAATGTTTCTCTCTGGTTTTCCAGAGGAATCCCAATTCTGTTTAATACAGCAGTTTTCAAATTAAAAACATCAGTGTCTCCTAACATTAAGAGCCCGTGTCTTATAGGTCATCTCACAAAACAGTGTTCTGTGACTGTTCCACTCGCCCTCAAGGGTGTCCTGTACACCGCATTAAAATCCTAAACAAGTTTAAAACAAACGTATACTACCAAATCCTCAATGTCTGGGGCAGAAAAATCAGTTTCAGGAAAGCCTGTACATTCAATCCGAAGAAGTAAGATCTTTTTTTTCATTTTCCTTTTATGATCCCACAATACTATTTATCAAAAGCATGCTGCCTTTTGAAGATCTAAGTAGTCGATAAAGGGATAAATTGAGGGAAAATGAAATCTAACTACAGTCATAAACATTAATTCTAGAAAAGCTGAATTGCATGTGGTGAACATAATAAAAGTCATAAGACAGTAATATGTCAGCCAGAATAATCTGTTAGTCTGGTCAGCGTTTTATACATCTTCCACACACCATTGACTATCGCTGTACAGTCCCTTATCTGATAAACACAGGAGATGGGCAAAATCCAGGGAATTAAATCTTAGATAATTTTTGTATTTTCTTATTTCAGTGCAAAATTATGTTTCGAGAGATCAGATGCAATCAGATGCAAACAGTTTTGTGATTTACAACTTCTGCTACTACCTGACAATTAATCTTCAACAAAACTTATAATCTGTTGAATTTCATTACACATATTTTTACAGTCAGCCATTTCCCTTTCTTACAATTCTAAAATTACTTATCATCCTATGTATTTATATATATTTATGCATATATATTTACCTAACTATATGATGGGGGTTTTTTTGCATTACTGCAATGAAATATGATTAATTCAAAATTATCAAGATAATATCGAGCCCAGCAATTTGTGTAAGGAACTTAATCTCATTCATAACCAGGACAATAGGTGAATGGAATGCTGCAAAACTCAGTTCTGTCAGAAAACAATTCAGTCTTTCCTACTGACTCATACCCATAAACCAGAAATATTTTACTTTTCAATACATCACATTTTATGCATCAAAAGAGACTTTTAAAATCAGTTGTAATAACATATTATTCTCTAAAAGTATCTAAATTTTTAATTTATACAACTAGAGCACTAAGCCAAAGACATCCAAAACCATCCCAAACAGTGCTGTCTCCATTCAGCACTTCACAACATTTAGCTTTATAAAGAGCTTTTTGGTGTGGCAACGTTCCCCCTTTTGTTTCCTTTTCTGTTAAAAGAAAAGAAAAAACACATTGTTTTTGAAAATGACAATAACTTATTTCCAGCTGTCTCCAAGACATTAAAAGTGGGATTGAAAAACTTGAGAATTTGTCCCTTTGTCGTCATATGTGTGTTAATGTTATGCATGTGCCATCTTTCTTAGAAAACATGAGCATAATATTTCCAACTGAAAGTAATTAGAGTTAATTGTTAATTGCCAATTATTGTCTTTCCTACCCTAGGGCAGATTTAAAAATCTTGATTTTTTTTTTTTTTTTTTTTTTTTTAGTGTATTTGTTCTCCTGTTTTTTTACTTCATTTGAAGAGCACATTAGTTTCTCCCAATTAAACTCAAGCTGGTCACAGCTAAACACTGCAGGAATGGGGTGGTCATGAGGACAGAGGCTAACAGCCATACAGAACTGTACAATGGTCCAGTAAGAACTGGAATGTCTGTTGGAAGAATATTGAGTTCTTACCCTTACTGTAGAGAGCCACTGGTGGTACAGTTTGTCACTACCTAGAGAGAATCACAAAAACAGACAAACAAACTGTAACTCTCTACCAAATAAAAAACAAGCTAGAAACGTGAAATGTTAGCACTTGGCGGTTCTAGGAGCATGAACAGTACAGAAACAGAACAGGACAACCATTGCTAGAAGAAATTTGAGGTGGTTCTGGGTAAAGCCAAGTTTTTTCAGTATCCTCCACTGCAAGAACTCTTTTAGTTGTACTCTAGCCAAGTGGTAAAGCTGAGGTTTTGTAAGACTGATAAGACTTTACTCAGACTACAATAAATTACTCAAAGTTCTTGACAGAAGAAAGAATAAAAATTCAAGAGACTTCAACCTACAGGGATCATTGCTGCCTCAGCTGTTTAGGTGAGTAACCACAATGACCCATTACATGATGCTGGCCCACAAACAGTAAGTCAAGAACAGTGTCTGAAATTACTGTAAAATACTGTATTTCTTACCTGCATATTCTCCCATATTTATCTCTTCTTCAAAAACATCACTGAAGCCCTCTCCGGAGTTAAGAAGATCCAGACGGCCATCAATGAACTACATCAATGTTAAAAGAGAGTGTAAACAAATGAACCATCCCATCCTTTACCTTTTTCTGAAAGACTTTATTCTGCATTTGCTAGAAAAACCCAAATGTTCTTATCAGGAGGGGACTCTAAATAGAATGCAAATACAACCAAAACTGGCAAAATGTTTACCAATGCAAAAAGGTACGCCGCTTCACTGAAAAAACAGCGTTCCTGTGTTTGTCTCCAGCTTCCCTGAAGCAGTAATACCATGTTTAACAGTAACATGCTTTCTGCACAAAGTTTACAGCAGATATATTGAGTCTAGGTAGACTCAGATCTAAACGGAGCACAGAGACCTTGAGGGGAAAAAAACCCATACACCTCTTAAAATATAGAAAGCCTTATCACCCGAATCTGAGAAAAGCCAGCAAGCAGGAATTAATGTGCTGCCAACTACATGAATTTTACTCATTATCTGGCTGACAGATCAAGGAATACAGGAACAGCCCTCAAAAAACCCAGTTGTATCGTTAAAGAATCTGCTTCTACATTAGAGCAATTAAGCCAGTACCTGCTTAAAGAGCTGGAGCTGAATGGCATTCTGAAGAAATTGCCTCATGACAGCAGAACGATGGGACACAAATGTTTCTTCACAAAAAGTGATGGGTTCACCCTGTAGAGTTCAGAGCATTAAACACTGAAAAAGCTTTGTCTGAATCCATTTGAATCCCTCCCAAAATAAATAGGTATTAAAGTAGGCCGTAGATAACATTAAGTAAACTGTAGTTTCTTTCTAGGTTTCCATCGTGTGACTGAGAAACAGGTTGGAAACTGGCAGAGTGTGCATCATCAGAATGAACCAACACTTGCTTAATCACATTTTGCTAATGCTGGTGAAGGAGCTTTCATCATCCAAAAAGGTAATTTTACTTAATGTCCCCAAAATATGACATGCAGTCATCTGAATTTTGAATATTCTGCTTATCTGCGTCAGTAGACCCAGCCAGCTAACCTGCACAAACAAGTCAGGAACGTCTCTCTGCTATCTCCACAGTTCAGGAAGACAAGACTTTCATATATTGAATGAGCGAAATGTCCCTTTTTCACAACCTTGTTGGCAAAAGACAGAAATTGTTCTGTAGCTCTACTTTTATCTTATTTTAATGGGTTATGTTAATGGTGAAGTCTGCTGCGCATCTGCCATAAGGGCACAAACTTCCTCCACACTTAAATCTACAAATGCTCAATGCAGCAAGCAAGTTATTGAATTAAAAACAGGAAAGTAAAAATGAATGATAAAATTATACTGATGTATAATTAATATGAAGGCTTTCTCATACTCAAAATATATTTGGACTCTTCATGTGTTGAGTGTTCAAAATCAACATCTGACAGCAAAAACCCATAAAGCACTCCCTTTAAAGGGGTGGTATCATTCCACTTCTGAGAGCTTTTTATATTAGCAATCTCATTTACCAGTGTAAAGTCAGGAAAACAGGGCCACTAAAATGATCGTGCTCAAAAAAACTCTGTGCCACAGCACTGCTTTGAGCATATTGTTTTTTCCCCACCGATTTATGTTGGAAGCCACTATGTGGCCCCCAGAATTCTAACACCTAATTCTAACAGACTAAAGGGATACTAAATCCTCAAAACTATGTTGGGCAAACTGATGACACTCACATTTCTTAAAACCCATAGGTATTTACCTTCTCCCCTTAGTTCACGATCGATCAAACTGACTCATTGATACATTTCCTACCGTGGTCTGGTACAACCCCAGAGCTTACTGACCCGGCGGCTGGTACTCGCTGCTGATTGCCTGTCCCTTGACATAGCTGCCCTCGCCACTGTAACCAAATGGTGCCAATGGCTGTATCAGGTTTTAATGCAACTCATGAGGGAAGCAAAGGAACTATTTGGCTTCAAATAACCAGACCGCAGTAAGGAAATTCTTCCTGGCCCCCAATGAACCGGACAACCAGAATCACCAAGATGATCACCATGTACCCCACCTCTAATCTAGCAGGCAACAAATGCCAGAAGCCATAGACTGTTCTTCCCGAGGAAAAGCATCAGTTGCAGGTGCCTGTGTAAGCACAGGATGGGTGTCTCTCAAAGAGGGAAGAAGTCACTCTTTTAGAATAGTTCCTTTCACGTTTTCCTTGGGCCAATGAATTTCCATGGTTTTGGAAAAGAAAGCAGGTTTCTTATCCTGAAACTGTAGTTGTCACATAATCTAAAAAATAATAACCTGTCTTTGATTTACTCTAGCAGGTATTTACAGGGAAAAACAAAATCACTACAATCTTTCTGCGCAAGAAACATGAGTGTCAAAACCCACTTTTTTCACTCCCCTGTGGCTTTGCTCTCATCAGGATAAAGAATCATAAGACAGTTTGTTTCAAAGTAAACAAAAGAAAAATGTTTGGAAAAACAAGTCTGGACAGTACGTGCCTGCTATGCAAGACCCTGATGACAGTCTCCATGACACACTGACTACGGCCACGACAAAGGCTCTGTCTCAGAAATCAAGGTATGTACTGTCTGAAAGGTTTTAATGCATTTAAACGATTAACAGCTGACCATGCCTTCCTGTTAGTGGATGGCAGAGAGGGACAGAACTGCTGCATGACATGGAAGTGTGAAAACGAGACTTTGAGCAAGAGGTAACTTGGCAAATGGAAAAAGCCATTAGCTGATTTTGAGATGGGACTGACAATTTGAACTAATAGAAGCTACCCATGCAAGACCTTAATCTATTATATTCAGCTATTACCATCCCACTTGAGATCTGTTTATACCCTCTCCCAGGTACGAGGAAGTAAGGGTCAGGATACTACAGAGCACTACAATTAGTAAGAGAAAATCTTAGCGACCAAAAATGCATCTGGTACTGCAGAAACTGCAGCGACAGACACTTTCCCAGTAGGGCCTAGGAAACAGTAAAACAAACCATAGGATTAATGTCTCCTTGACCAGTATGAAAAAGGCTTTCCCATCAAATTCAGCTACCAGAACATAATAAAGAATGCCTGAAGAATATTTGTGTCTGACATAGATACAGTCTGGAGTGTGAAAAGCACTGGGAGCGATACATGAAGAAAAGTGTAGATTAGTCCACGATCAGAGAAGTCGTTCACCAGAGGAAGGTTTAGCCTTACTTACAAAACACTTGAAAGGAAACAAGCAGCCCTTCCTACAATCCACGAGAATCAAAAATTGCTCCTGTGGCCAGAGAAGAGCATGAACATTATGGAAAGAACTACACCCTGCCAAACAGAAGCCTCCTCTGCCCCGTTATACATCCAGCACGACGACACAGCTTCTCCTCTCACAATCGAGCTATGTACCATTCCTATAAACACATTGCAGCTGGGGGAGCCCAGTATTATTATCGTGTTAACACACTTCCCTCCCCAAAGTGCTAATGATTGAGTTTGTTCATTAGGTTGATTAGACCTTTTGACTTCTTAAGAGCCAATTCAGGCTCAACTGCTGCTAGATGATAGGAAAAACTTTAATCATCAAGGTCAAGCGTGAGCTTTTCAGCTTAGAATGCATTAGTGCCTTCCATCCTCCATGACCTGCAGGAGGGTGAACACACTGTTGCTAACCCGCATCCACAGCTTCATTACAAAAGGACAAGCTGGACAATAAGACCATTTTCTTGACAGATTTACTTAACTGTAAGTTATAAAGCTAATCAGCTCTGCTTTTACTGACAGATGACATACATGAGGGGACATGCTAAGAACTGCAGGTATTTTGTGAAATGAATGGTCTGTCTCACACATAAAACAATTACAAAAACTTGTCCTGATAAACCCATCAACTCCTAAACTTGCCATTTCCAACAATTAGAATTTAGGCCTTGATTTGTCAACACCTTAAACATCCATTATTCCCCTCTCCAACTATAAGCACATAACAGAGGCTAAGCTATGGCATTGCAAATGCTCTAAATGTGTGCACAACGTGACTCCATGAGGAATCTGATTTGATCTACAATATTAGATAATTCACATATATTTCAAGATTGGATCACCAAATTCTTTTTTTAATACAAAAATTTACACATTTCAAAGACGTTTAATCTGCAATCTTAACACAAGAGGAGTAACTTTCAAATGTAAGACTAAGATTTAAGACTCCCAGATGCATTGAAAAACTAGGTGTCTTTTCCTTATGCCTTTGCAAATCTCCCTTCATATGAATATTTTATATTCATGTGGTATAATGAAGTTCATCAGGGCAGTGCTGCTATCTCATGACCCCTTAAAAAGCTGAAAAGTTTCAGCCCACATCTGATCTGTTGCCAGCCCTATTTTTAAATTGGAATTCTGTTACATTCTAAAATAAAGTTTAAAGATACTTGAGGCAGCAAGTGAAATACGAAAGAGTCTAGGACTTATTTCAGACTGCTCTAGAGTTTCGTGAAACCTGCTGTTAAATTTTAAGAACCCATACTGCAAATTGAAAGATAAAGCCCGATTTTTATTAGCTACGCTGTTAAAAATGTCACCATGATCCCCCATCTTTCAAGGACATCACTCTTCCTCAGAAAGAAAAACTTTCTTTCAGAAGAAGGTACAGGACCTCGTGCAGACAGTTACTGTCGGTGACAGAAGTATCATATCTGAATTGTCCGACTTGCCATACTCGCAGACAGGCTAGCTAACTGGTTATGGCAGTCACTTTCCCAGTGAATATAAAGGAATAAAAACGTGGGACAGAAGACAGCACACATCAGAGAAGGACCTGGAGGAAGAGACAGAGGCAAACACAAATGATACTTCTGCAAAGACACACAGGTGCTAAGAGAGCTCATGAGAGTCTAACTGTTCCCAGAGATGAGACACCAAAGCGTGCGTCTGGATAATGGGGCTTTAAAGCCAGCATGTGACTGCTGGAGAAAACATTAAGATAATAAAGACAGGGTTCAAATTAGGTCAACAGTGAGAGTCTCTTGCACAAGCAAAGATTTCACAAAACTTGATTCTAAGGGTAAAAAAAACCAACCCCAAAACAAACAGCAACCCAACCCTGAAGACTTTGTTTAGACAACCCTAAAAGTTATGCCATGGAAGATCTCTTTTGCATTATCATCGTCAGCATGTGGTGCAGGGTAATGAATTTTGTGCTGCTGTATGCATGCCTTTAAACCATGCAGGTGCTCTTTCAAAGCCATTAGAGCCGCTCTGTAAACCAGCCACGAAATGAAAAAATGTGGGTGGAATTTAAAGGTGCAGAGCAAGATGACAATCTGACAGTCTACCAGCTGTAAGTCCAGTGTCAGTACAGCATGCAGCAAACCCCCAAATACACAGCAAGAACAATGGCATGCAAGAGATTCATATATCACTGGTTTATTACTACCTAGATGTTGCAAATAACCACATCCTTTACTAAAATTGGTTATGTTGCAAATGACAGAGTAAAGCCGGTAGGGATATTCTAGGAATCATCATCCTTAATTCCATCCAGAATTATAACAAAACTAAGATAGGAGAATGATCTTACTGATCTAGATATATATGTTAGTGTCAGATACAACAGCAACCAAAGGCAAGCAACTGCTCCGCAGACCTTTCAAGAATTTTGATTACAATGTCAAGGAAAGATTAGCTTATCACAGCTGAAGAAGGATCATCAGTCAGCCAGCAGGATTCC